CCCGCCGACCGCCGCCTTCGGGAGGCCGCTGGCCCGCGGAGGGAGCAGGGCCGCGGGGCCTCATGACTCTTCCTGAATTTTCCTCTGGAAAAATGTCAAATAAATATATTTTCAAGTAAATATAGTTGGCTACTTTCATCCCGGGCTGAAAGCATTCACTGCAACTTTGAAAGCAAATTTCATATAAACCCGATCACATTTATTCATTTAAGGGAAGCACCGAAAGTGAACTCTGAGCTGAGAACAAGAATCCCCAATGCCAGAACCTCGGGTAAGCACAGGATACAGCTGTGTGCTCCTTCCACTTTGCTGGCCAGAAAATGAAGGTGAATTCCCCAAAATTTAAAACAGTAGAAAAATTAAGCTGCTGTAAAAATTCATGGTGGTTACAGTCACCATATTCCACATTCTAAAACAGAAAATGAGCTGAAAGTACTTCCCGTCTATTGAAGTCACTGGTTTCAGCGGCTCACGTGAGAAGGACAGGACCTCTCTGCTCTCCCCTCGGGAGGGTTTCCATCCATCACGCTCCTGAGCTCCCACTGATGTTTCACATTCAGTTTCGGGTCTGAAGAACCAAACCCCACGTGAAACCCAAGCGAGAGCCACGTGTTTGCTTCATTTGCACAGAAACTGTAACTGTGGCACTGTTGCGGTAAAATATTATCGCTCAATCTCACAAATATCTGTGGAGCCCTGGGAAAAGGCGGACTTCACTCTTAACTAAATGAATTTCCCTGTGGCTCTAGATCTTTTGAATAAAAATTTGCTACAGATCCATCTTTTCCCCAAATCAGCACTGCGCTGGCTGTACGACCTCAACCACTTCCAAGCGCAGCAGAATGGAAGCCCCAAGTTGTTGTGAAATGGATTCTCCCCGAGACGCCAGCCCCTCTCTGCCAGCAGTAAATGTTTCCACCACGAGGTGTCTCAGAGGTTAAAGTGCTGGAAGAGGAAATTTGGGACTGGGTCTTGCGGCACACAACCCACTGGCCTCGCCTGGCTGTCACACCTGGGGATGGCTCTTCAGGAAGCACAAAAAATAATGAGTGCAAAAAGGGTTGTTTTCACCTTTGTTGAGTCCTAAGTGTAACTGAATTGTATTTTAGGGTGCTATTAATTCTTAGAATCCTTTGAAAGAAATAGAAAATATAATTCTGCTCCCAGTCCTGCATAAATCTGTATAACTTATCTGAAGCCCACAAAGTAGCTTGGAATTTCCATGTATCTAGCAGAGGCCAGGATACGATTACACCATTTGTAACTGCAATATGAGTATTTATCCTGGGCTTGAAATCAAAGAAACATCAATGTGGCTATGAGGACTTGAAATAAAGATGACCTCTGGTAACAACCACCTATTTTGTAAATATTCACACTAGGCAGCTGCTGTTCTCATACAAAAACAAACACTGAGGAAGAACCCTTGAGATGTTCTCCCCGTATGTCCCACTGCACATCAATGTTGTGCCTGAGGCTGGAAACGCCTCATGACAACTGTGATAACACTTGAAGCAGCTCTTCATACTTCATATTGATCTGGTTATTGGGATGGTCAATGCCTCCATAATGTTTGTTTAGTTTAATGGGGGCTGTTGGGAGAAGCAAAACAGGAGGGACAACTCAAGACCCTTCCCTGCCCCCAAATACTAATACCTAGTTAAAAGACAACGCTGGTGTTATGACTTACGAAGATTTTTCATACTATACAACCAAAGTGAATGGAGCCATGGTAAGAAGCAGTCCATGACTGGAGAGAAAAGACCTGTAGCAGGCCTTTGAGGAGTATTTGAAAGAGGGAATCGGGCTGACACTGAGGTGTCTGAAGTTATGAACATTTCAGCTGCCGTGGCGCGCAGGGTAATCTTCAGGTAAGAAAGGCATGGATCTCACCAGGTGGTTGATTTAGATCATTTTAACCTAAACTGTTTCCTTCTCCTATAAACATAAACAAAAGACTGACAAGAAGAAATCTGCATTATCTCTATAGCATTAATTGCAGATCGCAGGAGGAAAGAGCTGCATGTGTCCAACCTGCTAATTAAGAATAATTACCCCATGAGGTTCTGTAAGTGTCCCATGTACAAACAGTAAAATTGCTGGAATCACAGTAATGTGTACCACCACTAATGAAGCAATTAAATGTTGTGAGGAGCTGCTGTATCTGCATTCCCGGGGCATTTTTGACCTAGAGGGAAACAGTTTAATGGCTGTTTGCACAAATTCAAGTATGTCATATCACCAGAGATGCTCGGGAATTTTAAAAATCAGGCAGGAAAAGGAGGAGTGGACAGGGAGATGAGAGCAGTGAGGCACGCCAAAGGTGCCGGCTAGCGTGTCATGTTAGTGCCATGCTGCAGGCTCTGCTAGTCCAGTCTGTGGTGCACTGGGATAAACCTGGCTGGAACAGCAGAACGGCTTCATTATTCCAGGGCTCAATGAGTAACAGCGTCACCTTTTATAGAATAAAGGAGGAAGTAAAATGCCTACAGCAACATCTGGTACAAAAAGCTGAGAGGCAGGATGAAAGGAGAAGCTAATAGCTGCTGCAACGGTTATTCAGCCGCACAGCAGAGCTCTCGGCAACTTTCCTGTGGCACTTGATGATGAGAGTTCTCCTCTCCCTCCTGCACTGTTTTCATTCCCTCCTCGAGTACTGATTAAATCTGCTCTCCAAGAGGTTTTTCCTGTATACCATGACAAATATGCCTGTAGGCCATTTTTTAACCCAGATGAGTGAAAGTAATGCAGGGCCAGATAAGAGATTACAGTCATAGTCAAGCAAATGCAGAGACTGAAAGAAAGGACAGAGCAGTTGATTGTCTTTGCACAGTAATATTATTGATTTCAGTGGACATAATCTTGATTCCTAGTGGAGTAAGAGATCCAAATCAGGCTCAATAGTCTACTAAAAAGGTAATATTGGATCTGCAGGGAAGTCTGCTGCCTGAACACAACTGACACCATAAGTTCACAGTTCTGCTGGAGACCATGTTCTCTCAATCTGAAAGGGTTGAAGTTTGGGATTTTCCATTTCTAATTTCTCTGAACTAAACGAAGTTACTGAAATGTCTTAAGTAGCAGTAG